CTTTTGGGGCTTCTGGCAATGGGGTGAAGGACAGATGGATGTGCATTCCAGGTTGACATGGAAGCTCAGGGTTTGCCACCCAAGGTCCAGCTGCGACACCGCCATGACATAAGTCTTGAAAAGGACAACTCGGCACACTGCAAGGGCCTACGGGTCGTCCTGTGCACGCCTGGTACGGCCCCGAACCTTCTTTCGTGGGATCCGAGCTGTAGGCCCTTGTTCTTTTTGGTAGATGTGAACGCGGGATCCGGAAATTGAAATCGGGTCCGCCGGATTGCCCCCAGAACCAAGTACCCTGAGCCTCCAATTGGCGGTGGCAATTGTAGCACGGGGCTCTCCCCGCTTCAGCACTCCCGGATTTCATCCGGGACGTTCAAACTCATGAGAGAGGCCAGCTTCAACCCAGTGCACAACCATACAAGCAGGGCTTGTCCCCGACCCTTTCTTCAACAAGAAAAGCATACGCGAAATCAGAGTTGTTGGCAGAGGTTCCGCTTTGGGTAGGCGGGGCGGTCGCAGATTGTCCAATATTCAAGCATGCGTCCTGTAGGGATTCAGGTGCATCTCGGTATTCTCACGGCGTGAGAATGTACATCTTACTTATACGGTTGTATAGACTGTATAGAGAAAATAAACTGCTGGAGTCCGAGGGGTAGAGCATACATCAACATATACATATAAATATACATATACATAAACGTGCGTGTGTGTATATACATATATGTATACACACAGAAATGATTGAATAGATAAATATTTGAATATATAATTACACTCATGTGTGCATATGCATATACATGTATGTATGTATGTATGTATGTATGTATGTATGTATGTATGTATGCATATGTATATATGTATATATGTACGTCAAATGCTACATTCACGAAGTCATCTTAACACATGTCGACGCCATCCATTTTGGAACAGCATGATACTGAGCAACTCAATCTAGCACAACACAATATGGTAAGCGTTACGGCATAGCAAAGATGCGAGCAAACACCGACCATGGAGTGTGACACTTGTGCAAGTTCTCAGTCTCAGGTGTCAAACTTCGCGCAATGAATATGACTGCCGGGATGTTTTGCGTTCGCACCTATGCCTCCGCAGGGTTGTGGCATTTTACTGACTGGGGGCCTGTACAACGAATGTATTATATTAAGCTTCTCCTATATCCTTGGTGCGCAGCCCATCACCGAAAAGGACAAGCCTTAAAGGGACCTGTGACAGACCTCATCGTTAGACCTAACACCGCAAGGAGAAACCCTAAAGTGAAATTCTATGCCTCACAGTAAAGCCTGACTTCACAGTGCAAAGCCGAAAGCCCTCGACCATTAATTACATTCTTTCGAGCATTTCGAGCCCACTGACAGGGATGCTACGACTACGAGGGGGTGCAATTTTATGAAACATCACGTTACGGTAGAAGCCGAAACTCAACATCCTCAACCTCTAGGGGTGAAGTTTCGGCCATACCTTAATCTGATGCCTCTGTTGCGCAAATTTCAGCTTGAACCCGAACTGTCAAAAACAGCCCAGGTTCGACTTCAACTTCGGCAGGAAGAGCGTGAATTGGCCAGCGCCAATCAAGACCACCGGATTATGAAAATCGCCGCCGGAACCCTGCAAAACCCGAAGCACCGGAAGCATCGAAGCTGACCCGAAACGGCTTGAAGGAGCCGTAAAGCAACCCCTGACCGACCCAAAAATTCGGGTGCAAAACCTCCGAACTTCCAGCCGTAAGGTTCCTCCTTTGATTCCCAGCTCAACCCCCCTGAAGGATGGCTATTACAATTGGCAAGGGCCTGGCAAATTGTCGGGGCGGTTTTGGCGATGTCATGAAGCAAGCTTGCGATTTGGGGTCTTCGTGTCGGCTCATTTCGGAGGTTCAGGGTCACGGGCTTACGGCTAGAACTAGAGCTTTTAGAGTGGAAAGGTTTTACGGCCCAAGGTTAGCGTTCATGGTTTCTTGTGTGGGGCCAATGTTCAGGGTTCAAAAAATTTGGTTTGGCGAACACACTTTCTGTAGCTTGAAAGGGGTCTGTTCAAGACTAGCTGTCCTGGACCCTGGATGGCGAGTTTCGGACCTTTCCCAGTTTTTCCACTTTATCCGTGCGCATGCGTAGAGTAGAAGGTGAACTTGATTTGTTCGCACATGTTCGGAAGCTGCCTAGATGTTCCTCATGCTGCAGGGTTCGGGGGGTTTGCTCTTGACCTTTCTGGTTGTGGGTGGTTTCCGGGGGAGGTTTCAGAGGTGTGCGGCTTCGTGAATTAGTGGCTTGGGCCTCCTTGGATTCTTTGTGTTTCTTGATCCTGCCGGCAGTTTTAGATCATTCAACATCACATCCCAGGAAGTGCATCGGCTCCGAGATGGCAAACAACATCCCTCCGTTGAAGGCTCCGGGCACCATGAAGGGTCTGCAACCCACTTCGAAGGTTCGGCGAGGTGACACCGTGCCTTGTTCTAACACAAATTGCCGCTACATCTGTTTGTTATCGCTGCTGTTTTCATCAGTGTTGCTCCTGCAAAACCAAAACATGTCGAAACCATGTCCATAATGATGCTTCGTCCCAGTCCCAGAGGAGCAATGTGACACCTGAGCAGGCCGTACTCACCATGGGAGACGAGCTGTCGAAATGTGCAAAGAGAAGCAACGCCGGTGACGTCATCAAGTGCCTGGGCATGCGCATCGTGCAGACAGTGCCGCCCCTGAGCCTTGGCCATAGCCTTGAAGGGAGTAGCAGGCGGGCAGTGGTCGCCCTCTTGCGTTCCCTGCCGCTTGCGCGTAGGAGGTCAGTTCCGCACCTGGCTAAGGAGCTTCCTGAACAAGATGAGCCTTGGCTAGACCCAGAGAAGGGCATTTGGTGAAATTCTCGTTCCCGCTTGTCTTTACAAAACCTACGGCCGTGGAAACTGCCCTCAATAGGTCAGGGCCCCAAACTCTAACTCTGATCCGACAGGAGCGACATGCTTACCGAGTACTTGCAGGGCTTTGCCCGTACTGCTGCCACTGTCGCCGGCCAGGCGCCCTCCGGCAAAAAAGCAATTGTCTAACCTCGCCGGATTTTGCGCTGCTGGTTTCGGTCAAGGGTGTAAGGCTTTTGGGCTTGGGCGTTTAGAACTGAGGGAACTACGGCCAGGATTTGGGTTTTTGCGTTTTTGCATTTTGGTTTTTGCATTTGAGGTCTGAGGGATTTGCGTTGTGGGGTTTCGGGTTTAGGACAAGTACGGGAGTAGTGTGTACCTTCTGCAGGGCCTAGTGACATAGTGAAGTGATGAGTAATGGCCTTGGTTCAGCAGCCGTTACGAACCTAAACCTCAAACACCTTTAACTCTTAAGCCGTACACCTTCAAGCTGAACTGCAAGCAGAGACTGCCGAATGCCAACAGTCACGTCAGACGCATGAAGCATCTGTCAGGCCCTCAAGGACGGCGTCGCTCTCATCCAGGACTCGAGCGAGCTGCAGTAGCAACAGAAGCATATTAGTGGTGGAAACACATTCCGAAGCTGAGGCTTTGAAAACGCCAGCAAGCAGAGCGGCTCAGGACGCCTCCGTCTCCACATTCCCACAAGCGGGCACGGCCCCGGTCGTGAAACACGAGAGCAGGCACGCCTGAGACCCGCGTGACCGTGAGCTGGGTTGACTGACAGCTCTTGGTTGAGGGGTTAAGGGCTTTGCATCCAGAGTGATCGTTTAGGGTTCAAGATTCAGGTTTCACGGCTTGGGTTTGGGGATTGGGTCAGGGTTTAGAACCTCTGCGGTTCAGGTTGATTGGAGGTATTCTCTGGAGATTGTCATGATTGCCAAAACTCCAAGCCACTTACAGGTACATGAGGTATAAAGCTACCAGGTTTTCTTCGGGTCACTTCCCATGGATGGGGATGTGTCCTCCATGTTGAAGGACCCGAATTCTCCCCCGGCTTCCACTAACCGGTAGCGTTACAACCAGCCTTCAACCGCGGGAAATGAAACTGTGTTTTTCAGGTTGTTCTTGGGGTGAGGTTGCTGTCCATGGCGCTGCCCCGACAAGGAACTTCATGATCCAGACCCACTCGCAGCGCAGCTTGGAAGCTGAAGGATGGAGGTGCAGGGAACTATTCGCGCTCCTGGCGTGTTCTGTGGCCTGCTGACTTCCTAAGCTCCCGCCCTTTCAATCACGGCTCTGGCGAGAGCAGCCCCTGACTTAATCCCCTTGAAATCGCAGAATATCGCAGGCAGAGGCGCATTTTCGACAACCCAGCATCCTCACTGAACTCGGAACTTTGAACCACGAGCCCTTGAACCTTCAGCAATACGCCCGGGCCCTGAAATCCCAAATCCTAAACCCGAGACCAGAGTCTAACATAAATCTCCCACCATTGCATGAAGTAAACCCCAAACCCTGATCCCTGTACCATATTTTGCGACGTCACCAGCCAAGCTCAGGGGCCCTGGGGGGCTTCAGCCGGGAAAGGTCGGCCACTGAAGGAGCCGAGCTTCCCATATACATCTCACAAATACTACTAGGGTAAGTAACAGTGATACCCGACGGTATAAGATACCATTGTTTTTGTTTACCAGTGGGTATCCCGTTTGCAACCTGCCATTGGCTGTGCACTATAGCCTTATGTGGCTTGAACCTGTACGCTCTGTTTTACAGCCGCCTGCCCAGCGTTATTATGAATTATGAAGAATTCTGCAAAGAACCCTCATACAAACCGTTACAGGAACCTTGACATCGAACCCTTGAAGCAACCTTCAATGAACATCTCCCCCTGGCAAAAAGTTATTTCTTCGTCGGC